ATTTCTTTTTTTTTTTTTTTTTTAATATATCTTTATTGATTTCAGAGCGAGTAAAGGAGAGGGAGAGAGAGAGACAGAAACATCAACGATGAGAGAGTCATTGATAGGCTGCCTAGCCCGCAACCCGGGCATGTGCCTTGACCAGGAATCGAACCCCAAACCCCAGGTCGATGCTCAACTGCTGAGCCACGCCCGGCAGGGCAAGGCTGGGTTCTTCCTGATTGCCCCAGAGACCCAGAGGTCTGGGTGAGGATCCCAGCAGTCTCCACTTCCTAAGCCAGGTGAGAGATAGCAGAAAGGTCTGAGAGAGGCTTCTACCTGAACAAGGTAAAAAATGAAAGAGAGCAGACTGACTGGGGAAACTCTTCTCCCAGCAATGACTTTTCTGTGATTCTTGGAATACACCACCACCAGGTGTAGAAGAGCCCCATCTGGTTTCCAGTATGAGAAAAGACCCCCACCCCCAACATGTATTTGGGAAGTGAGTCACTAGGTGGGAATTTGGGGAAGAAATGGAGGGAACCCAAAGATTTGCTCAGATCAGTATCTTGGTCACCTCTCCATCCCTATTATTGGATTAAGCAATAGTCAGGAGTGTGAATGTAGGGAATGAGAGGCTCTGGGAAGTGGCAGCGGGAAGACCAGCATGTTCCCAGTCTCTTGTCAAGAAAGAGATGATCTGACTATCTGCATCCTTCAACCTGCCTAAAAAGCATCATTAGTATTAGCCATTAAATTTCAGCAGATGACTTCAGTTGTCAGCAAATGCTTTTTTATATTTAATGAATGTTTATTATAATAGAATAAGATATACACATTTATTAATAAAACTTGAAATTTGACCCAGAGGGGGGAATAAAGGTAGATTATTTACATTAAATGGCCAAGATCTGGCCACTGGATTTCTTCCAGAAGTTTTACTTCACAGATCATTTTCAAAACACTGACTGTATTTAGGAACATCCCCCGCTTTTCCATAAAATTTTGAAACAAGCTAGAATGTTCTAAAAATGAAGCTGTATGGAGCCTAAAGAAAATATTTTCTGTGTAGTGCCAGAGAACATAATCAATGAGGATTTTTACTTCCCCAGGTTGAAACATGTCTTTTAAAAATGAAATTTCATAATTTTCAGGTTTTTGAACCATATTGATTTTTAAAAAGGAAATGAAGAGAAATTGTTAGGAAACAGATATACAGCCAGGGAAAAGAGGAGAGAAAGCAGGAATGGCTAAAGCCAATGTCAAGGCTATGCTGGTGGTGGTGGTGGTGAGGGCGGTGCAGACCCTCCTTGGTAACCAGAGAACAAACCCCAATTGCAAGGTGGGCCCTCAGATTGGAGAGGAACAGGCTGAGTGACAGGGAGGTGTGCGCTGGGCCCAGCAGAAACTAGGAGGGGGAGTTCTGCCTTTGGAGTAGGGGGAAGGTCCCA